GCACCCAGCAGAGTTAAGCCCGGCTGTCTCACCTTTGGCTAGGGAGGAAGGCTCTGCCTCTGCCTCATTCTGTGCTAAACCCCATCCACTCCCTGGATCCTGGCAGTCTGTGCCTTCCCTTTGCCTGGCTGCATTGGCTTCCTCCTCCTCACACACGGTGGATCCCAACAACTCCCCTGCGGCGCGGTTCTCCTCAGGGAGCGGCCAGTCGGCACTAGTGGTAGTGGACTTGCTCTCTTCCTGTAGGTTCTCTTCGTCTACAACCATGATTCCACACACACCATCAGTCACACTGGCCAGGCCTTTGCCCTCTGCTACAGAGGTGGCCAGCTCACCCTTACCCTCCAGAGACCTTGGAGCTTGTTCTTGTAGGGCTGATGGCTCTGTGCCCCCTTTGTCTATCCCACGATCATCATTCATTTTCGTGCTGGTATCTGCTGCTGGAGCAGGAGGCTGTTTCGGATCATCCAGCAATTGGGAGCTGGAGCCCTGGGAATGCAAAGGAGCCTCGGGGTAGGCAGCTGTGGCACGATGCCTCGCTGCCTTGTATCTCTGCAAATACAAACAAACCAACATGAGAGACAAACCCAGCTCAGTCACCGCAGCAAGTGGCAGCTGGTCCAGGAAAACCTGTACAAAAACAGTGGTGAGCAGCAGCTACAATCTGCAGGGGCACGACTTGTCTCAGCAGCTCTCCTGGCCTGGCTGCTGAGGCTTTCGAGCAGAAAATGGTCGGCTCCTGTGAGGAAAAGTGGCAATATTAAGAACTGCAATCCCTCTCACATTACTGAGTGCTGAGCAAGTGCATGGCAGACCCCTGGCTCCCCAGACAAAAAAAGTCATGTTTTGGCAACTGTTAATCTTAGTCAGACTCAGGATTTTATAGATGTAACAGTGGAAGTGACAGCTCTTGTTTCAGCTACTGCCAGGACGTAACTCTGGATGTGTACCCTGGATACATGAGGCGCTGCCCTCTGCTACAGTGGAGTGATTTAATGTTCATCAGCCAAAGCACGACTTAAGTTGAAAGCTTAAGTTTTTTTCACTCTCTGATACAATCTGTGCAGTCAGGGAAACTGTTGACAGGAACACTGAGATACCAAGAATATGTGCTTGTTACAGGGCACTGAGGTTCTCTACAGGAGGAAGGGAAGCATCTCATCGATAAAATGGCTCGTTTGCGCTCACTGTCATGATGAACCAGTAGAGGTCTGTAAAGAGATTAAAATGGCCAACAGCCATTTGCAAGACTGGATTTCAGGAAGACAGTAATTCTGTACAGCTACCCACATGCAGCAGG